GTGGGATCATATATTTTAAGATATTTCAATTGTAGATTTGATTTTACCACACACAGAGAGAGATAATTTTCAAAGTAATTATAACCAAAATCAATATATTTTCAAATATAAATTCTTATTAGCGAGATTATATTCAAGTTTTCATTATCATCAATTTCTTTTCAGAGGTTTTCAATGTTTAAGATTGTTTTTTTTTTCAATTGACTTCTATAAATGAGAGTTTCCAGAATAATTTCATTCCTTTAAGCAGCATTGTTGCCAATATTTCTTCCCAAGAGTTATAAACTTTCTAAAGATATTCCTAAAAAATCGCGGTCGTTTCAAAACTCATATTAATCAGCGTTATCAACTTCAGATTTAATAACAAGACCATTTTCATAGCTTATTCTTATTATTAAAATAATTTCTAGGGTTTTTTTCCAATAGAAATCTTATTATTATCACATCCACACATTCCCATCAGCTAGATTATTTGAAAAATTTCTGATCAGTGAGTTTATTTCAAGAGTTATTATCCATGAGAACCTTTCCATTGTTTCCTTCCAATAGCAAGATTCTTTCAAGTGTCCATATTTATTTTTTAGATTCATTTCAGAGTCCGTTTATATCAGCTCGGATTGTTTCTAGATTCTGAATAAGATTTTTTCAATTTGCCCCATCATGGTTATATAGTTAATTAATCTTCCTTATCAAGTGAATACTTGATTGAGTTTAAATCTCTTTACCAGTCCATTTACAGGTTTCTTCAACATGGGGGGTCGGCGGAAGAATGGTTCAAACCGTTGGTGTCGGTTTTCCGATTGTTGGGTTCATTCTCTATTTTAAAAAAATGCAGATCTGTCTAAAACTGACCTGCCCCCCCCCCTCTACATTGGAATGCCGTCGTGGCGCCTGTCCTCCCCCCACACATGTGGACCATCCTCCCATAGCTGGAGTCCATCTATCTTTTCATAATTTCACTCTGGTATCTTGGCCTTGTGATTCATGCAGCAATACTAATAACCCAGTTTCCTGGACCGCAGAGCGCCAACTACAGATTGTTAAGATATAATATGGTTTCACGGGCTACTAACCAAAGTGTATTATTTTTGAGCCCAAAAATAATGTAGCAATCAGACAAGCCGCAATGCACTATATCAAAGTATCAAGATGCTGCATGCAACCAAGGTTGTTCAAAAAGGCTAGATTCCCCAGGCCAGGGAAGATAAAAAGAAAGACAGGTGTTGGTTAGATAAAGCGGGAATGATTCAGAAAGTGCTGGAAAAGGATAGATTTTCTTTTTGTAAAAATATAAAAGTTTTATATATATATATATATATATATATATATATATATATATATATATATATATAGGTAAAAAAATTGTTATTAAAAAACTTTGGTAATATATATATAAATTTTGAAAATAAAGTCTTATATCAAAGATTACTAGTGAGAATACCCGTACTAAGACAACCAACCAGAAAAGTACACCAGAGATCGCATAGCGCGTTCAAATGGGTCGCTGCGTAAGTCTATTACTCGATTAGCCCGTGCCATTGAATCGCCAAACCATTTTCCCTCTGTCATGGGGTTACATAGACAGCGTCAGGGGCGATCACGTACGCAGGGATGGTCGCGAAACCTATCTTAAACAGCGGCACATGCCAGAGTTGCGTCTACGAGCGGCCGCTAATGACCGGTGTTAACCATGAGGCGAGGAGTCCGAGTCATTCAGGTGATCGGAATCCTCCGCGCGGACGTGTGGCTTAAGTCTTTCAGAGGCCTTTAGGAACTCCAGGCAGGCTCGCCAAGTGCTCCTGTTGAAAATAAAGTCTTTGATTGACCGCGGAGTGTACCCCAATTCTTCTTCACAGGTGAAAAGAAGGGGGAATCTAAGGGCTTCAAGGCTGCTGCACTCTAGCACGATGTGCGACAGAGTTTCTTCCTTGTCAGCGTCACAATGAGGGCAGGAAGGATCGTCAATGACGCCTATCCTGTAGGCAAAACTGTCCGTCCACGTGTGTCCCTATAGCAGGCCAACCACAATGTGCTCGCTAGGGACGATGTACGCATACCTTTTGTCTAAAAGACTCATTTGAGTAAGGCCAAAGCGAGTGTGGATAAAAGGAGCTAGAGAGAGGAATCTGCTCTCCCATGCTTCACGCGCCCGGCCGTAGATTGCCGATTTTACAAACGCCAAAGGAGCGAGTTTGTAACAGCTTGGGTTAGCAGACTCATCACCCCACTTTGCGAGTGTGTCCGCACAATCATTACCCACGATCCCACTGTGGCCCTTGATCCATTGTAGGGTGCACCTATTCCCATTGCGATTCAATCACGAAATCAGTAGCAGAGCTCTGTCGATAAGGTAATTACCAGTCTTAGAGTACATAAATGATTTCACGACTGAGAGGTTGTCCAGGAAGAATCCTAAGGTTAGATTATTTGGTAAAGTGGTTGCGTTTTCAATTGCCTTAACCAACCCAAGGGCTTCCGCCTGAAATATGGAACAATGAGGGGACAGGACATGAGAATCACGTATTTGAGGTGCTCAATCGGACCAGAGAACCTGTACACGCCGGCGCCAACTCTATCTCTGGTTTTGGAACCATCTGTATAATATGCCACGTGGAAGGAAAGAGCAGGAATATTAATGGGAGCGGAGTAATAGGGAGGGTAATGGAGAGGATGTGGAAAGGGAGGAGGCTCGAGTGGAATTTCAGCGTCAACCAACCCATACTTTTTAAGGTATAGCTCAGTTTTAACCGAGATTTCCAGATCGAGAGGAAGAACTCTAGAAAATGAGATAAGAGCAGCGTTGCTGGTTGATCTGAAAGCTTTCACTAGGAAAGGTCTTTGAGCACTCAGTAGAACATTTAAGGAGCGTTGAGAAAGATTAGGAAACCATACCGCCGAGGCATAGGCAATGGCTGGAACAACCATTTGCAGATACAGAGTTCTCAAGGCGCGGTAACCAAAACCAAAGTTAAGATTAGCGGCTGCGGTCAAACGCGGCAACATGCCGCGGGCCTTGGCGCAGACTTCAACTACGTGCTGGTGGAAAGATAGACGTCGGTCAAATCTCACCCCAGCACCTTAATTGAGGCGCACCATTGGATTGGCTGTCCGTGGATAACCAGATCCCGGGGTTGTTCAGGCAGTCTCCCATGTGGTCTGAGGAGAACCATAGCCTGACACTTCCCCTCGCTGAGTTCCAGTTTATGCTAACTGCACCACCTAGCGATCATATCTATGGTGTGATACGGATTGATAATGGAAATATCTTTATTTACGGGCTGCTAACCAAAATAGATGATTTTTGAGCTCCAATGGCCGCATAAAGCTGACCAGGCTGGAGAGGCTAGGGACAGGATCTCCGTCAGGGAAGAGGCAGGTTAGGCCGGATTGGGTCTGCGGAGGTCAGGAGGCAGGAAGAGGGCGGGAGGACTAGAATTTTGCAGTTCTAGCTCTAGCAGTTGGGCAAGACATTGATCTTGCCTCGTGGTCGGCAGAGAGGCCCTTGGCTGATCAATTAGCGCACTTGGCCGTGCGCAGGTTGGCGAGAGTTGGGCAGCTTCGGCCTTGGTGGTCATCAAAAGCGCAGTTGAAGCAGACGACTGTAGCCTTGGTACACCTATCGGTGGCCGTAGACACAGCAGCGGTAGCAGATGCGGTCGCGGACCGACTTCTTGTAGTTCAGGATCACCTGGTCCACAATGATCCTGCCGCGTCTTCCAATCGCCTTGAAGGAAGCCACATCCAGCTCGATGAAGGCCGTGCAGGTGCCATTTCTGGTCGGAGATCTGTGTGCCACGCAGACAGGCTTGTTTCCAGAAAGCTGGCTGAGGGCATCGGTGGAAAGGAAAGACTTGACAATGTCCTTATCCGCGGTTTCCGCCTCCACGTTGAACAGATTGTTAAGGCAGACATCCAACCTATGGAAATATCTTTATTTACGGGCTCTTAACCAAAATAAAATGATTTTTGAGCTCCAATGGCCGCGTAAAGCGGAATATACGTAAAGCACTCTGACCAGACTGGGGAGGCTAGGGACAGGATCTCCATCAGGGAAGAGGCAGGAATAAGGCCAGATTGGGTCCGCGGAGGTCAGGAGGCATGAAGCGGGCGGGAGGACTAGAACTTTACAGCTCTAGCTCTGGCAGTTGGGCAAGACATTGATCTTACCTCGTAGTCGTCAGAGAGGCCCTTGGCTGAACAGTTGGCGCACTTGGCCGTGCTAGGGTTGGCGAGAGTTGGACAGCTTCAGCCTTGGTGGTCACCACAAGCGCAATATAAGCAGTAGACATAGCCTTGGTGGAATGGCTGTAGGCGAAAGGAAGAACATCCAACCTATATATTACAACAAGTCAAACTGCAAGTCCACAAAGTACCATCAGTGATAATAATATGCTCACTGATAAATGACAATTTAACAAAATGCCACGTGGAAAATTAGGGAAGACAAAAACCTCAGGAGGGGACAGCAATTTATTTCAGGCAAGGACCAACTATGAATGGTAAACAAAAGATAAGCCACGAGGGAAATTTACAGAGTAGGAAAATATAAACATAAAATGACCATCTGTTAATAAAAATAATAAAACTAAAAAATACTTTGTTACAATATACAAGAAGAATATACTGTAGGCGTGCCAGCTGTCATTACACGCGCCTTGTGAAATTAACATAATTTTGTTAAGTAAAAATGAAAAAAATTGTCACATAGAAAATTAGGAAAGACAAACATCAGGCTGACGCAGCAATTTATATAAGGCACAAACACAAACTAAAATTTATAAAATTAAGAGAAGCAATAAAGGAAGTAAACAGAGTAGCAAAATATAAATATCAAAATAATAATGTTTTCATAATAGAATCCCAGGTAGTTGTGTTATTTTTGGTCTTTCTTTTGTTATTAATCTTTTATTAATAAACTAGCTGAATGATCCTGGCAACGCCCGTGTTTTACCCGATTGAATGTTTTGATTCAAATACTATTTGTTACAATTATAAATTGTGGTCATGTGGCCTAGTGGTCATGGGCATCTGCCCGGTAAGCGGAAGGTCGTGGGTTCGATTCCCATCCCTTGACACTTTTTTATTTTATCCATTCTATCCGTGAACTTCACACAGTGAACTTCACACAGACAGAATAAGGCAATTATATAAGTAGATGAGCCAAAAATAATTATTAGTTATATTTATTACATAACTTAAACCAGGCGGGATTCAGGGCCGGCCACTCTTGTCAAGACCATATATTCACTCTATTATCCCTGATTCAAATGACTCTAAGCCGAAAGAGAAGGAAATGCTACATGTTCTTCGTGGATTTGAAAAAAGCCTTCGACACAGTGCCCCACTCATTATTATGGAGAAAACTGGTAGATGCAGGTCTCAACCACCGTTTTGTTAACTTAATTAAAGATTATTACACAAATATGACAGCGGTAGTGCGATGGAACAATTCATTCACTGCGCCAATAAAGGTGCGTTCGGGAGTTTTACAAGGGGAGCCGATGTCACCTTATTTATTTATACTTTTTATAAATGATTTAATCGGTCTCTACAATAATTCAGATTTACCGGGAATATATCTCCCAAATTATGGACATGTTCATATTCTACTATACGCAGACGATATTGTCTTGATTGGAGAATCCAAAAATAACCTTCAAATAAAAATCAATATGCTAAGAAAATATTTTGAAACAAATTTACTAACCCTGAATGAAAATAAGTCAAAAATAGTAGTTTTCAGAAACGGCGGTCGATTAGCACAAAATGACAAATGGTTTTGGGGTGAGCGGCAACTGTCTGTTACTACGAAATATCTATACTTGGGATATCCGCTTACAAGTGCAAATTCACTAAACAAGGTAGCGTCACACTACAAAGGCAAAGCCCTGGCAGCAATTGGCGCTGTGTGGCAAGTTCTGACAAAATCCAAGATGAACTCTCTAAATGCGGCAATGAGATTACTTGATTCGACGGTCTTGCCTCACATGCTATACGCCGCACCCTGCTGGGCACTCAACCAAGTAAAGGTAGTTGACCAGGTTCAGAACATTTTCCTAAGACGCTACCTAAATTTACCAAAGTATACTCCGGGCTTTATGCTAAGAATGGAGTGTGGACGAGTATCACAGGAAGTTATCATAACCAAACAGGTCCTGAGATTTTGGGTGAGGATTATGAAAATGGAAGAGAGTAGGTTGCCCCGGGCATGTTTGTCACACCTCTGGACATTACACAGCAATCAAAGGGCTGGTTTAACCTTTGTTGAAAACCTGTCAACCATTTTAGACTCAAACGGTTTTTCGTTCCTGAAGGGTTGTCCGGATTACACTGCAATACTGACAGAAATCCCTGCTATTATTCGAATAGCAACCGAACAAAGCATCCAAAGCGACATGGCGAAAATCCTAAATACTTCACATTACAGTCACTTCAAATACCTAAAAAATTCAATAACAGCAGAACGATATTTATTCACAACTATTCCTCTAGCAATTAAAAGATTCTTTGCACAACTGAGACTCCTATGGACGATCTTCCCAGAAAATCGTTCAAAGCGCTGGAAGATTGATTTGTCTCTAACTTGCGATCTGTGTAAAAACAGAATCCAAGACGAAATTATGCATATAATATTTGGATGCTCTTGCTTAGAGAAACAGAGGAAAGAAATGTTGGGTGACTTACCCTGGTCTCAACCTGAATGCCAACAAATTTGCAGCTGGATGAACACACTGATGGTTGATCAGGGTCTCTCCCTCGGTTTATATAAATTCTACAAGGCCGCAGTCAATGTCCGTTGGAGAATAATGGATTCGCCGAATGTCGTGGTTTGCTTGGAGGAAGAAGGCGAAGACTGAACGCGGCTGATTCCACACTAGCCCTCTCAATGATATCCTAACCTTGACATATCCTAAACATTGGTAATTTAATTTAAATATTTAATCATGTATGGTTCCTTTTGCTCTGTATGTTTATTTTTTTGTATATATGGTTATATTTTTTTTGTTTGTTTTTTTTTCTTTCTTCTCTCTTTTCTTTTTCCTTATTACCTCTTGTATTCTAGTTTTTACTTCTGAAATATCTTCCTTTGCTAAATCCTGTAGAGGGGAATCATGTGTAGGGCTGGATGCCCCAATGTAGAGGCTTGTGTGTGTGTGTGTTATTTAAGAAAAGGAACTGCTCGACTGCTTGTATATAAGCTTATACCACGCCCTTTCTTTATTCTTCCCCCTTATTTGACACATTGTAAATAACATTGCTGATTATGGTTATTTCTGTATATATACCCTGTTCTACTCGGAGAATCTGTATAAGATCAAAAGGTCTTAATAAAGCTTTTTGTTGTTTTGTTGTACATAACTTACAGGGCAAATCACATTCTTTACTTTTTACAACAAAAACACAATCACATCCCAATTGATGATGATCTCAATAATTATTCATAGAACACATTATATAATAGTAGTTGGCGTTCTGCGCTACAGGAACTTGGGTTATAAATATATATCTCTCTAAAATAATAATATTTCTCGACAATATTTGAAGGTAATGTGGGGCTTGTACTATTATTTTAATGAATTTAAGGCTGCTATATTTTCAGTACAGCAGGTAAGCACAAATTGTACACTAACAAAAACATTAATAGGTTTGATATTAGCTCGAGTTTTAGGTGCAGGTCCAATCAGGTTTGGGCAGGGCATAGAATGCTGCTTATCTTTGAGGCTCCAAGACAGTCCTTCCATTCTGCTAAAGTCGTTAATGCCTGCAGCTATCTCTGTGTAGCTTAGAAGAACATTAGTCTTACACTAGGATGTTTTTTACTATTCCATTCTCTCGTGGTACAAGCCACAATAATAATCATAGTGAGTAATTAGCGATTGATTTTACTCTAAGTGGCACAAGTCTAAACAAGTAAAAGCAGTTAACTTTTTCACTTTTTGGTCAATTACATTCACTGCTGGTTTTGGAATTGTTCAAGGGGGTGGAGGGCACTAGTTTTAGTGCTCAATGTGGGAATCAATTTAGCGTTGGTGATACCAAGAATACTCAAACAGATCTCTCATGAAATGTGCTTCCACCTCAAGCCACTTCAGTACCTCCCTGTTCATATACATCTAGAAAGCGCCACCTTCGCAATTATTAATAAACCAGTTCCAGATTAATTATGTTTCTATCTATTCAAAAATAAAATCTAAAATAGAATATAGCTTTTCATTTTTTTAAAATGTCGTTATCAATTTTTTTTTTCAAGTTAGCAGCTCTACATTCACTTTATTAAAAGAAAAACGAAGTACAGCTTTATAAGTCATAATTTATTATCATATTTTTCGAAAATATAATTTAAGTTTCATATACATATATTATGCCTTTCTCTAAACAAAGGAACGCAATAGTGTTTATGAAAAATGCAATTTATATATTTTAAAAAAATCCTTCCAATATCTACTAGATTAATTATTTAATTTATTTTTGTAACTTTCCGTCTTTAAAGAATACTTTATTATTAGAATTTCTTAATAATTTGCTAATTCATTTTTCAAATCATATTAATAAATTAAGAATTGCCTGATGTGGCAATATCATCAGCTTTAGCGGAAGTAGTCTAAAGTCCTTTTGAGTTCGAGATTACGTAGTATGGTGTGTTACGGCTGACCTAGCCAATACCTATTTATTTTTTTTCACCCATTATATTTCATTGCACATATTATTTTTATATATTCAATTACCCCATGTTTTAATAAACTTTAAAAAAATTGTTTTAATGGAAACTCTACCTGTGCAAATCAGATCAAATGATCAGGTAATAACGCTAATTGGTGTTGATATTTTAGGCCTAGTTATAGTAAACACAACAATTTATAAAAATAAATACACTTATTTCTTAATAATGTATGTATATTTGCAAATTTAAGCTTAATTCAAGTTCATTTTAGTTTTTAATTTAGAATTTACACTCGTCAAGAAATATAAATTTGCCCAAACGTCTTTGACATATATAGCATAACAAGTTGTTAAAAATGGCTACGAATCCTTAAAAGAATAATAATTTTATAGTTATAAGTATACATTTTAAGAATATATTTATGTAGACAATTAAAACACAACTATAAATACTTTTAACTTTAAGCGCGATTCATACAAAACATTAAAAAAAATGAGATTTCATAGAATATTGTGCTTTTTAATTAAACATCTAGAAGTATTTAAAGTGCAAATACGTTTTATTTTTCAAAATTTTAGTTGTAAAACATCTTTGAAAGATATTTCTGACCCACATAAACAATACTTATAATAAAGGATATAAATCTTAAACAATTATTTTAGATTTTTTAAATAAATATATTCTTTTGGCATTTAAAGGCCCTGAGTTAAATGAGAAGTTTTTAAATTATGAAACAAACAAATATTCACATACAAAATCAAAATAAAGGCTGACATGCATAAAATTCTTGAAATGCTTGCAAAGCTTTCATTCCATAAATCAACTCTAACCACCTATGTTTTATATTTTATCAAAAGATATTTTAAATATTTTATTATTTTGTTTTTTTTATATAACCTACTTTAATATAACTATTATAAATATCCTTTTGTGTGTTTTTTAAACATATTTTTATGAAAATATTTTTCATTTAGAAAATTTAAAATATATTTAAAAGCCCCTTTACTCAATATAATTTTTTGATACCTTGTATGTAATATTTATATAAAATACATCATTCAAATCATAACATGCACACGCACAACGTGACAATTCTTATAATGTGTTAAAATATATACACTTCTTCCTTTTATTAAATGCCTCAATTAATTTATATACAGTAGAACCTCTCTATAAAGGACAGTTAGTTGCTTAGCCTAAGTGTCCTTTACAGAGAGGTATCCTCTTACTATTAGAGTTTCTATATATATTTTTATATGTTAAAAACTCAAGGTAATAAGACCAAATAAATAAAATAGTGTGTGATGTTTCGGTAACAGCGTTGTTACCATCTTCAGACAAAAGTACTGAATGTATTTATATGGATTTGGTCTTATTACCTTGTGTTTATAATCTATAATCCAAATTGTGAAAAT